AAAAAAAAACAAAAACAAAAACTCACAGGTAGTTAAGTGGAAAAGCCAGACTTCAAATTTAGGTTTAAACGAAACCTCATAATCTAAGCATTGCTTACACATAAAAATTTAAATATGTATTATGCATTTTAATCTGGAAAAAAATATAATGTTATGAAAAATGAACACAAGCATACATGTTATCAGTGTCCCACCTACTTGAGTTGGGAATGCCTCTTAAAACTGGAATGAGGGCTCAGTACCCATAGCACAGTAGTTACTGCGCTAGCCACATTCACCAAGGCTGATAGGTTCAAACCTGGCCCAGGCCAGCTAAACAACAATGGCAACTGCAGCAACAACAAAAAAATAGCTGGGCATTGTGGCAGGTGCCTATGGTCCCAGCTACCTGGGAGGCTGAAGCAAGAGAATCACTTAAGCCCAGGAGTTGGAGGTTGCTGTGAGCTGTGATGCCATGGTACTCTACTGAGGGTAGAGTGAGACAGAGTGAGACTCTGTCTCAAAAAAAAGAAAGAAACTGGAAAGAGGCTGGGCACAGCAGCTCACGCCTGTAATTCCAGCACTCTGGGAGGCTGAAGCAGGTGGACTGCCGGAGCTCACACAGTTGAGACCAGCCTGAGCAAGAGCAAGACCCTGCTTCTAAAAATAGCCAGGTGTTGTTGTTGTGGCAGATGCCTATAGTCCCAGATACATGGGAGGCTGAGGCAAGAGAATCACTTGCAACCCTTGCCTCCTCTCTCCTCCCCCATCTCTCCTCGCCCCTCCCCCTCTTACACCCAAGAGTTTGAGGTTGCTGTGAGCTATGACACAACAGCACTCTACTGAGGGGGACAGAGACTGTGTCTCAAAAAAAAGAAACTGGAAAGAAATTATTAGGGAAAATAAAAGTAAATATTTTAAAAAATGATTTAAAAAATCTCCAATGATGATACAACAAATACTCTCAAGGTAGTTTTTGAAAAATATAAGACTCATAGATTGTCAATGGATCATGAACAGATTTTTTTTTTTTTGGCTGGGGCTGGATTTGAACCTACCACCTCTGGTCTGGGGCCAGTGCCCTACTCCTTTGAGCCACAGGTGCTACCTGATCATTAACAGGTTTTCAGTGTTTCATTGTTTCCCTGGGTTAAACTTGGGAAAACACATGTCTTTGCCTGTATACCTTGAAGCCATGTCAATCTGACCACTAATAGGTTTGGCCATGGACGGGACAGTGGCTTAGGCAATGTGTCATTTCCAACGTAAGTATTCTGGTGTTACTAATGAGCCCAAATTTCCCTTTTGGCAGTCTCTGTTCATTAGTCCTAAAATAATTAGTAGTATTTTGAAGCTGCTAAGCTCCTATGCGATACGGAGTGAGACTTACCTGAGAATTTCATGAGTCACATCTCTATGTACCCAGGCAACGCCTAGTACAGAAGCCACACGGTTTACTTTCCAGTTCAAACTGCATACTGCTGCCAGATGATTTTCCTACCCTGATCTATAGGTCCCAACATTGCAGTTCCTCACACAAAACTCCTGTCCTTTCTCATTATATTGGCTTCTTTCCTGTAATTATTTATTGTTACAAACGTAACATACGGCACTTCCCTTCTAAAATTGTAAGCTCAGCAAGGGTGAGGACCAATTGCACCTCCACTGTCTAGCCATATCTACCTTAAGGTAGGCATTCAGTTATACTGTTGCCCAACTACGTGAATGAATATTACAAGAATTTGGACAATATGACTCTCTTTCATTTTTTAAAGTGTGAGATAATTCACATACCATGATTCATCCTTTAAAAAATGCACAAGTTGGGTCAGCGCCTGTGGCTCACGCAGCTAAGGCACCAGCCACATATACCTGAGCTGGTGGGTTCAATTCCAGCCAGGACTGACAAACAACAATGACAGCTGCAACCAAAAAATAGCTGGGTGTTATGGTGGGCGCCTGTAGGCCCAGCTACTCAAGAATCGCTTGAGTCCAGCAGTTGGAGGTTGCTGTGAGCTGTGATGTCACAGCACTCTACCCAGGGCGATAGCTTGAGGCTCTGTCTCAAAAAAATAAATAAATAGAATAAAACATAAAAATAAAAAATGCACAAGCCAATGGTTTTTAGTATATTCACAAAGTTGTACCATCATCACCACTATCTAATTCCAGAAATTTTTCATTACCTCAATAAGAAAATGAATAGTATTAGCAATTACTTCCATCCACCCTCACCCCCAGCCCCTGGCAAACCACGAATCTACTTTCTGTCTCTATAGATTTCTCTATTCTCAACTTTCATATAAGCAGAATTATATAACATGCGGCCTTCTGTGCCTGGCTTATTTCACTTACCACGTTTTTGGGGTTCATCCGCGTTGCAGCCATGTATCAGTACTTCACCCCTTTTTATGGCTGAATGGTATTCCGTTGCATGGATATACCACTTTGTCTCTCCCTTCCTTTTTAAACAAGATGACTTTAAAAATTTTTTCAGATTGACAGGAGGGTACGAATGTTTAGGTTTCATTGTTTTATTTCTAAGGTAAAGTTCAAGTTGTAGTCGAGTCCTTCACCTAGGGGGCGTGTCGAGCACGCTCACATTTTGCACCTTAGGAGAGGTCCCGCCAATCACCCTGCCTCCTCCCTCCGCCCCCATCTCTCCTCGCCCCTCCCCCCCAGACTTGTGTTTGTCTTTCGTGTGGGTGTGTAGTTGTTTATATATTGGTTCCATATTAGTATTAAGTACATTGGATGCTAGACAAGATGACTTTTAACAACCTTCCCAACTGTATGATCTTATATACAAGAGAAGAGCTATAATCGAATTTCATAAAGTAAATCATAGTTATCATCATGCTTCATAGTTTTTCTATACCTTGAAGTTTTCAAATTTTATCTTCTACAGATCCCGGAGGGCGGGGTGGCCTGTTGTGACCCACCAAGGTTACTTCCACAGGGTCCCCCCCCCCCAATAAAATCAGACTCCCTACCTTTATTTCAGGATTCCGCTTTACCTTCTGTTCCTTGTGCACCTGATTTCCTGAAACTGCACACTCTGGGATAATGCATTCTCACAGTTCTGATTGTTTTCAACAGATAACGTGTTAAAGGAGGTTGGAAGCCGTTTCTTTCCACCTCTCCTTCCCCTTGTCCCTGCTCATTACCAGTGCAACTTTTCTGCCATCAAAACCTCCAAAAACAAAAGAAAAAAGTAGCCAGAAAGCTTTCTTTGTTTTCTAAGGAAATTCAGGTAAAAAGGAGGGGTGAGGGAAATGATATTTTTGACTTTCCTTACAATCCAGACGTAGGAAAGAAAAAAGGATTTCCTTTGGGTTGCTGCCACGACTCTGATGTTTTATGCTGATAAAATATTTCCTCCTCCAAAAAAAAAGAAAGTTCTGAGAAAATCATGCCACTTCAGCTTGAAGGCTAAATCTACTCTAACTTTGTGTTTAAAAAAAAAAAAGTGAAAGATTTGCTTTTCTTTCACTGAGAGGTTTCTTCCTAACAGTTCAGATCTTGCCGCCAGGCGCGAGCTGGGTCCGCAGCGTCTTTTGCAGGGTGGCGGGGAGCAGGACTACAGGATCCAGAGGGCTTTGGAAACTGCAGCAGCTCCAAGCTTGTTGGCTACTACGGTTTCCCTGAGGAGTGACGCTGCGAAAACAAACTCTGATTGGTCAGGCCTGAGCTGAATTCTCCATTTATGGACAGATTGCCCGGTCCGAGCCGAGGCTCAGCCAGAGGAGTACGGATTAAGTGGCTGGAAAGAGGAGCGAGGTTAGGGAACTAGCTAGAGGCGCGGAGCGCATCGGACTCACCTAGGCAGCGGCGAGCTCCGGGTCCGAGTGGACTCCTGCGCCCGGCAGCATGCACCCCGCCTGCTGAGTCGCCCCGGTCTCGACCTCACCTAGCGCCGCCGATCCCGCCTGGATGGAGTCCCCTCTGGGTTCCCATTGGCTCCTGTGAGTGCTTGGGTGTCGGGAGCCTGTTTTTGGCGAGAGGAACCAACTTTTGAAGTTCGCCCAGGAGACTGCGTTCCAGCCCCAGCTCGCCGGCAGCCGGACCCGGCGGAGGCGCGACCGCGGCGCAAGTCACCATGGTGAGTTGGCCGCGCTGCGTCCCAGGACGTCTGATCCCGGGATGGGGCAGGAAGCCCCTGCGCGGGGCACCCACCTTGGGCGCGCTGCCCAGGCCAGGGGTGGAGAAGGTGGACGCGGGAGTAGGCACGTCTCGAGCTCCTATTTCCCCCTACTTTCCGTGAACCTGGGCTGGGGGAGAAGGAGCGAGGGGCCAAGGAAAACTTTCTTTCAAGTCGCTTTCTGCGTCGCGAAACTTTTTGTGGCCGGGTTGCTATGGCTGCCAGCTGTCGGAAGCCAGGGTGTGGGCACATCTGTTTTCAGGGGCACAGAGTCGGAGGGGATCCCTTTCTTCCAGCTGGGAAGGCGGGCAGACGCCCGTGCCCCTGGAGTCCTAGCCTGCGGGATGATTGCGCCGTCGCCTGCTCCCTGTGTCCCCTCCCGCCCGCCGCCTCCTCCCCGCCCGCGGGCAGCCTCCCGGGGTGACTCCCTCCCCGGCGCGGTTCCGCCGCCCGGCTGCGCCCGCAGCTGTCCCGCCTGGCATCTGCGCGCCGGCGGGGGCGGCCCCCGGCCTGCCCTGGCGAGGGGTGGCGCGGGCCGCACAAAGGCAGGCGGGGGCGCCAGGTAGCGCGAGCACCTGGCGGTGGGCAGGCTGCTGAGAGTGAAAGTGAGCCTGACCTGCGCGGGGAGCCGGCCGCCTGGGTCTCCGCGCCGCGGGGGCCGGGAAACGCCTCCTGGGGAGGGCCCCAGCGCTTCCCGGGCGCGAGGTGGTGGGGTCTTCGCGCGCCCACAGTGCGCTGTTCGCAGGAGAAGTGTTCAGAGTTTCACGCTTTTTGCTCTGTTCCATTTGGCACTTTGGGGATACTACGTATATGAAAGTGGCATCTTCCTTCGGTGACTTTTTGGTGACTTTCCTACACCCCCACGCCCCAGCCTAGCGACACTCCTCCTCCCTGCTCTAACCTTAGCCACATCCCTTGGGCTTTGGTGTGGTGTACTTTTCTTTCCGAGGCACAAAAGCAGGGTCTCTATTTTGAGACGACTGGCAGTCCATCAGGAAAAAAAAAAATCTACTACAAAACTTCATAGTTTCCCCACGCGCTTCTTTTCACATAATCCTGCTTAGGTGGATGAACTAGTCCTCTTCTGGTTTGTTGTTTTTTTAATGACCGTGAACGTGAAGCTAAGTTAAAATGGTAACCAGCTCGGCGCTAATTTAAAAATCTACATATCCCGCCTGGCCAGACTGAATGTCTCCGAGCAAAGGCTGATCGCACCTTACGTACAGAGCTCAGACGCAGCCTTTGACCCAGCACTATTTATTTAAAAGAAATGATTTAAAATAAACAACAAAAAACCTTTGAAAGCATCCCTGATTAAAGCTTTTTCTTTTCACATGGTCCAAAATTAAGTCACCTTTGTCCCTCGGAGACTACTTTATATAAAAAAAATTTTTTTTTTCTCTTCTTTTAGTTTTAAGGTTTTGGAAGCCAGTCGGCTCCACATTATTTTTGGAACCCCTACGGAGAACCGTTCACATTGGGCATGGCTTTGGGTGACGGTACTGCCCTGGGCTTCTGGCCACTTGAATTTAAGCAATGCTATAGTTCCAGTACTTTAGAATTGCTGTAATTATTTTCCATGGCTCAATATTTCTAAAAAAAGAAAAAAAGAAAGAAAAAAAATCAATGTGTTTATGTCAAGAGCTTAAAGAACCTTACAGAATTTAAATACTTGAAAGGTACCCTGAGAAAATTAACTTCCTCTCATGTAAACTGAAATGCTGAGCTGACTGAAAAATGAACTAGGATCTTTGTTTTGGAGACCTGGGAAACTCCACCTCCTCTGTGGCCCCATTGCAGGTGAAATGGGTGGTTGGTCCAGTAGCTGCCCAGGAGGCTTGTTTGGGGGAAGAGTTACTTCCAGAGTCTATGGAGGACAGAGTTGACTTACCTATTGATGGGCTCCCTGCCAGGGGAACAGATGGGCAGGTTGTGCACTGCCAGGTGACTATCTGCGCATCAGATATGGTTGCTAAGGCCACCGTTCCCTGACAGAAAAGTTCAAACAGCTGGCTGTCCTGAAATGGGAAGTGCACCTGTGAGAAATCTGCCAGATCCTGAGTAATCTGCCCCAAATTAAGTGAATCATTTCTTTCCTGACTTGAAAACTTGCATTTTCTTACATAGGTGACGTTGCCTTAGAACAGAGCATCAACATCGTCAATAATCTGAAACTCAGGTTCTAATATTTAATGTTTATATAATACTCTATTGGCCGGGTGCAGCCACTGGTGCTTGTAATCCTAGCACTCTGGGAGGCCGAGGTAGGTGGATTGCTTGAGCTCAGGCGTTCGAGACCAGCCTGAGCAAGAGTGAGACCCCGTCTATGCAAAAAATAGAAAAACTAGCTGGTGTGATAGCACAGGCCTGTATTCCCAGCTACTCAGGAAGCTGAGGCAAAGGGATCACCTGAGCCCAGGAGTTTGAGGTTGCTGTGAGCTATGACTCCATGGCACTCTACTCAGGTGACAGAGTGAGACTCTCTCAAAAAGGAAAACAACCTACTCTGTCAGGCTAAATGAAGCTTCATTTTGTGTTCCACATGTGTCTAGGCCTGCCCTCAGCTATTTAGAACAGGAAAGGAAGGGACATTACCTTCAGTGGGTGTGGCTGAGAATTAGCTCAGAGAGGAGACTGTAATTCACAGGTAGGCCCTAGGCCAGGTTATAGGGAGGCTTGTGCTGTAACTTCTGTGTGAGTGTGAAGTCTTGCAGCATGTTAGGGAGGCTCTCCGTCCATATCCAAGGTACTACCAGAGCTCAGTTGTGACTCAGAGGTAGATTGCTAGTTCCTGACTCATGAACACAAGGTACAGTTCAACTCTATCTTCTTCCTGAAAACTCACTTTGGGGTACTTTTTCATCTTGGGGAAAACTAAGAACACTACCATGCAATAGTTGTTTCTGTCTTTTTCCTTGGGAGACTTGAAGAAGTGAAAAAATAAAATTTTAGGGTACACATTTCGGAGAGTACAAAAAGCTCTCTTGGCTGGGCACCTATAGCTCAGCAGCTAGGGCACCAGCCATATACATCAGAGCTGGCGGGTTCGAACCCGGCCCAGCCTGCCAAACAACAATGACAACCACGACCAAAAAATAGCCGGACATTGTGGTGAGTGCCTGTAGTTCCAGCTACTTGGAAGGCTAAGGCAAGAGAATGGCTTAAACTCAAGAGTTGGAGGTTGCTGTGAGCTATGACAATACAGCACTCTACCCAGGGTGACATAGTGAGACTCAAAAAAACCCAGCTTTCTCTACTTTAATTAATAGTAATACACATCTATGGTTTCCTTTGTAGAATCAGGCTTTATCATCTGCAAAGGAAGTTCTACTTTTGTGGCTATAACCATTTTGGACTATCTGATGAGCTGAAACCCGTGCCTATTGATCTGCTATGTGATTTGTTTGTTTATTTATTTTTGAGACAGAGCCTCACTCTATTGCCCAGGCTAGTGTGCTGTGGCGTCATAGCTCACATCAACCTCTTGGGCTCAAGTGATCCTCTTGCTTCAGCCTCCTTGAATAGCTGGAACTACAGGTGCCCACCACGTGTTGGACTAATATTTCTATTTTTTAGTAGCAACGGAATCTCACTATTGCTTAGGCTGGTCTCCAACTCCTGAGCTCAAGGGATCCTCCTGCCTCTTCGGCCTCCCAGAGTGGTAGGATTACAGGTGTGAGCCACGGCGATCCACTATATAATTTGGACCTAGAAATTGTGACTCACAAAATTTCTATGAATTAAATATGCAGAAAGGTTTGAACAAATCTAAATTGGCCATCACCTCAGAAAATGCTCAAGATATGTTTCCTTTCCCTTATTTGTATATTACTTGTGAGTATGTAGATGTGACACAGAAAAATACACACGAATAGACTTAGGAACCCAGAAACCTGATGGATAGCTGACTATAAGGTAGATAAGTTCCTTTGGGGGAAGGCATGGCTTCTATTTACAAAGTCTGGAATCCATTTCAAACATATTCTCTGGGAAGGTAACCTGGTTCCTTTCTACTGATTAGAATATCAGATTGCCAATCTGGCCAAAACAACACAATACCGCAGAAACAAAAAACGGAAAGGACTGGGATAAATCACAAGAAAGTTTTGATGGAGGCAAAGGGTCAGGGAAGGATTTAGTTCCTTGGACATTAAATAGGGGCGAGTGTGAAGGAGCCATCCTGGTGGGAAATAATTTGGCCAGCCCAGGGTTTCTCTTTGGAGAGAAACCCAGAGGGTCAGTGGATACAGCCAGATGGAGAAGTGTAGAAAGCTGAGAGTTGCAGGAATTTAAAAGCCGCCTTCCCCACAGCCTGGCCAGGGGCTACAGACAGCTTTATCAGTGGGGGGTATGGGAGGGAGGCTGATCTCTAGAGAATACCTTTGGAATGCCTGTCTCATCTAAAAATCACCACTCCTTCACCTTGGGTCATGCTTACATTGATCCTATTATCAATTTGTTTTGTTTTGTTTTTCCAAAAGAAGCTAGAAATCCAGATTTTTATGCCATATCTGCCAATTTTATAAATGTTCAGATCATCACTGAGGGACCGAACACAACACCCTTGCACCATCAGCGGTTTGCAGCCACTCTGTGTACATTTTAGTGTGGTGTCTCTGGGAACCACACTGCTTCCTCCCATTTACTCACCAGCAGGGACGTACATCTTAGCCACATACCCAGTCATGAGTTTTTATTGATACACCCACACCTTCCCACTGGGCCGCCCTAAAGAGAGAGTTGCTTGGTATTTTTAGCCCATGGAACCTCTAAGCTACTAAAACAGGGAAATCTGCATCCAGCTGCTGCTGTCCCAGGCTCTAAACACAAGTGTAGGATGATGGTTCCATGAGGGGTGAGGCTGCAGATTGAACTTCTCTTTCTCTTCAACTCACTCTTCCACTGGAAATGCCCTGGCCCCCAGTGCTGCATGATGCAAACCCCTTTTGTGACTCCTCTCT